CCATGCTCTGACCTTTTCTCCTCTTACGTCCAGCTAGCCTGCCGAGAGCTCAGGACGTACTAAGTCTTGAGCCTTCCCAGAGCCCGTGTTTGTGTCCCTGTCATGCTCATGGTGGCCAGTGATGACGGTCTCTGCTTTGGGAAGAATCACAGAGGTTTGAAGCTTTCACATCTTGCTCTCGGACAGGCACTGAGCCCTGGTTCCTGTCCAGCTCCAGCCTTCAGGATGTCTAGATTTGAACTGCTGCATCCAGGGAAGGATTCAGCCAGATCTCAGCCAGATGACTGTTCTTGGCAAGCTTGCTTACCTGAAGTGTGTCTCTCTACCCCACCTCTTTAGGTCGTGCTTCTGACCATGCAGTGGCTGAAGGTGGGGCAGGGGGCAGCTGGAGCACCAAAGAACCACTGGACGAGTGGCCTATAGGATGTTCTTCACAGGTGCTTTAAGAAGGGTATGAATGGCGTTTGCAGTCTTCTCTGAAACCACCCCTGTGTTTTGGGACACTGCAGTGGTCATTGCTGACATCTCTGGAGAGAAGGAGGGTGAGCTGTGGCTGCGGCTGAGAGTTCAGTAGCCCTTAGCACGTAAAACGGAGATTCCAGGTTTTGTGGTCCAGCAGCTCTTAGTAAATGCAGACTGTTCGATAGCTGATGTAGTGGAGAGAAAGGCAGGAAACTGTTCTCCAGCTTCAGTTCTTCCGTTCCTTATTTTCCTACATATTTTCACTTTGTTATTCTTGTCCTGAGGACATAATTTTGTCGTCTTCAAGCAGTGACAAGCCTGAGATAAGCTGATGAATGACAAATGCTGCTTTCTAGTATTGGCTAACCCTCAAAGCAGGGACGGGAACTTTACAGAGTCTTCTGCAAATAATGGTTTGAGTCACAGTGCAGTGGGCGGCTGCCGGTGCCGTGTGTCAACTGGCGAGGGAGATTTTGGCAGGAGGAAATGGAGCCTGAATTGCTGAATTCTCTGTCGAGTCTCTTTGTTTCTGCAGGAAGCTCAGAACCCTTGGTTAAACTAATCCTTCAGTGACTGATAGCCCAGGCAGTGGTGCCCATCTTTCCGTGGGCTCTAGTTCAGCAACGTTTCATCCTGCATCTTTGGGGTGATGTTTCTCACTGCAGCCAAACTGGTCTAACGCCAGCTGGCCCCTTCCTCCATGTCCGCCCTAGGGTGCCTGTGTGACCCCAGACAAGACAGTTCAGCCATCAGAAGACTTTCATCGATCAGTTTTCTGTTCCATTAATGAGCCGCAATGACTAACCACAAGTTCAGGTGACAGAGTAGTTCAGGTCAGAAGGCATCTCTGCAGCTGCATGGCCCAGCTCCTTGCCTGAAGCAAGGCCAGCTCTGGAGTTGGCGTTAGGTTGCTCGGAGCTCATGGGAGCACCAAAGCTGCAGGGCAGAGAGATGCCGCTTTTCTCAGCAACAGCAAACTGTTGACTTTTTTTAAGGAAGAGGGCCCCACGTGATTTTCTGAAAATCTGGCTCATCTCAGTGGTTCACCAGGGGCTGAAGACAGTGGTACAAGGAAGAAGGTGGGGATGGCCCTGGCAGATGCTCACTGTTGGGCTGGCACCGTCGCCAGCTGAAGAATCACAGAATCACAGAATGGTAGGGGTTGGCAGGGACCTCTGTGGGTCACCCAGTCCAACCCCCTGCCCAAGCAGGGTCAGGGAAGAAGTTCTTCCTCGGGTTCAGCTGGAGCTTCCTCTGCTTCAGTTTGTGCCCGTTGCCCCTTGTCCTGTCGCTGGGCACCACTGGAAAGAGCCTGGCCCCGTCCTCCTGACCCCCACCCTGCAGATATTTGTAAGCATGTATTAGGTCCCCTGAACATTCAGCCACGCATTCAGCAGTGCTGTTAGGCAAAGCAGCAGTCTGGGTCATCTTCTGTGCGTGTATGCCCTGAGCTGGCGGCACATTGGGCTGTGCCTTAGCCAGCTCTGCTGAGCGGTCCTCTGAGCTGGAGCAGCTCCTCCATCCCTGCGGGAGCCGGGCTGTGCTCCCAGGGGCTGCTGGCGGTGGAAGCTCCTCTGCTGTGGCTGCACAAGACGAGGTTTCCGATCGCGCGGGCTGCCCGCGCCCAGTTACAGGCTGTTACTGCCCTAAAACCAGAACTGATTCTTCAAGCCTGGCCAGTTCACGTTACTTGTAATATCTTTACAGCTGAAGTGGACAATAGATCTTTCTAGCATTTATTTTACCAAAAAGAAGTAATTTTTTTATTATAAAACTACACAGTGAGAGCTTGCACGGCAGGAGTCTCCCTCTCCGTGGCACTGGGCTTTCTCTGCGCCAGGTTCAGGGCTGGGAGCCGAGGGCGCAGCTCGGCGGCTGCGTCCCTGCGTGCCCAGCGCACCGTCTCTGTGGGTTTGTCGCTAGGAAAACCGAGATCGTCTGTGTGCCTCACAGCCCGTCTGCAGAATCCGCAGTTTCTCTTCCAGGTTAGAGGCACCTCGTCGCGGCACAGCTCGGTTTAGGCACTCAGCATCGGTGCAGATGGCGAATGAAAAGCCCACCTGACTGTTTTACATGTCTCTGACGTTGAAGAGTTTGTAGAAGTACAGAGCCTTTTACTTGTGTTTATCCCTGTTCTGTCAACTTGTGGCATTCCAGTAAACCCTCTAACGCAAACGTTTCTCCTCTGCGATCAGCCGCGCAGGCGGAAGGCCGGAGGCACAGCGGCTCCGTCAGTGCCTGTCCTCCCGGTGCCGTTCCTCTCCGCTAGCACCGCTCAGGGCCAGATGCCACCTGCAGCAGGTGACACTCACTGTCCTGCAGAAACATCCACTGTGAGAAGCACTTGTGCCTCCGTATTTCTTTTCTTGCCAGCAGAGTAGTCTTGCTGTTAATATTCGCCTCTCAGTGAGCAGTACAGCCCTGGTTTTACTGCGATTCTCTGTATCTGCCCGACACAAGGACAGACACTGCTTGGGCAGTCAGACAGATCCCTGAGTGACTGTGCACTTCTCCCCAGCATCTGATACAGAGCCCTAACGCACAAAAGCGAGGAAACAAAATTAAAACTGAAAGAATAAAATTGGGGACACCAGAAATCTTGCCCTGCCCACGTGCCCAGCAGAACGGGGCCGATTCCTGGGTGCACCGTGCACTGTGTTATCTGCACCAGTGCAAAGTGAGGTTAGGTTGGGTGTAAACCACCTGGAAACAGCCACAGGACATTCTGCACTTCACTTTTTGTGCAGGTTGCCCGTAGAAACACGCAGGAGCTCAGTGCGCGAGGGCAGGGACGGCAGAGTTCACCCTCTCGCAGCAGCGCGTGGAAGCGTGCGCAAGGTTTGCCGGCAGCAGCTGGCGGTGCTGGGAGCAGGAGGATGGCTGCCCGGGGTCCCTGGCCCTGCTCTGCTGTAGCTGCTGATCTCTGTGCCCTAAACGTGCCCCAGCCAGGCAGCCTGGCCGATGCAGGAGTGCCCGGTCAACGCACCCGGCCCCGGGCAGCCATCTCATCCTGCCGTGAGACAACAGCAGTCCTGGTTTCGAGCTGCCCGCATGAACTGTTCGCTCCGGTTTTCTCGGACCTGGCAGCCAGGTGGGTGCCCAGTCTCCCTGTGGAGAGCACAGGTGCCCCACCGGAGGCGGTGGACGGAGTCAGACCAGAGGAGCAAAGCAAGATTCTCCACCTCCAGTGGCTCGTTCTCAGAAGGCCACTGACGGGACCTTACACAGACCTCCCCCCGCCGGCCCCGCCGTGGTCCGCGCTGCGGTTAGCGGGGAAGCGGTGAACAGAGCCGCCAGCTCAGCGCCCCGTGCCTGGAGTGTCTCCTGACTCGGGGCTTGCTGCTGTCACCTCGCAGCCCGCTGATCTGCTCCAGACCCCCAGAAAGCTGCACTCGGCTTGGTTTGCTGCTTCTGAGCTGTCGGCAGGAAACAGTGCCTTTGTGCCAAGGGAATGAGTCCTTGCTCACAGTAACTGCTCATAAAACCCTCGTTAGAAAAACCTGAAAAATGTCTTTATATACCCACAATTGTGCCACTGTTAGGGCTGCGTGCCACCCTGGGGTCAATCTTCTACCGCACTCTGTTTCCATTGCCAGCATTTTCTTCTTAACTATAAAGCTCCTCACTTCCAGAGTGGTTGGTTGGGTTTTTTTTTCCGAATTCAAAGCCCTCGTGTTGAATACCCAGCCAGGTTTCCAGGTCTGAGAAGCAAGGCATCCTGAAGGTCACTGTGCATTTTTCAAAATCTAGGACAGTTTTGTTTTGTTTCTTTTTAGCAGAAATTTAAATCTGAAGGAAACGTTGGTCTGCTGAGCTGGGCTGGTTCATCTCTAGCTTTTAGCAGGACTTGGGAAAGGTGAATGACCAAATTCAAGGGATTTATGGGCAAATACGCCAGAAACCTGGTTCTGTCATGGAAAGTGTGAGAAGATCCGAAGGAACGGACCACGTGCTGGCACTTCGCTGACCTCTGGCAGTACGAGAGGAGCGGGTCAGCTGTCCCCACTGAGATGAGCTGTTACTCAGGGCCGGGAGCAATAGTCCTAGGAGGCATCGAGGACGGAGCTGGTACCTGCCACTGCAGTTCACTGGTAATTTAGGGACAGAGCAGATCTGAATTCTTGCCTTGAGAGAGGGGATTTCCAGCACAGCACTGGCGCTGTGACTGTCAGGCAGGTCTTGACTGATCCTTCCCCTCGGAATGTGCTCCGTGCACGTTACACGGTCGCTGGCAGGTCACCACTCGCAGGAGGAAGAGCTGTAGGTGCCAGTTATTTTCAGGAAGGAAGGCATGGCTGAAAGCATGTTCTTTCTGGAGTTCGGCCCATGCAGGCTAAGGCACAGTGTCCCACAGCTCGATTTCTGAACCGAGGATCAGGGCGTTTGGTTTTTATTCCGGCATGGAGAGCAGTAGCCTCCACTCAGGGGGCTGCAAACACTCCAGGTTTTTCCATGTGACACTGTATAAAGATGGAGGCTGCTCTTGTTTTGATTCTCGCCTGATTTAATTACATTTGCTTTTTCTCTTTTTATTTCAGTTGTGATTCCAAAGAGCCCTTTACCTGCCTCCGAAGTAAACTCGGAGAAACCTAGCATGCACAGTAGCACAAAGACTGTTTTGGGGCATCAACAAGGGCAAAGGCGTCGCAAAACAGGGAAGAAGCGTGGTCGAACGACCAAAGCGCTAATCCATCACCCCATGCCTACACCCTCCAAGTCAGTGGAGCCTTTGAAATTCCCCAGAAAGAGAGGCCCCAAGCCTGGCAGTAAGGTAAAAGCTGATGCTGATGCAGGCGGGTGAAAAGCAGGTGCTGCAAGTTCTGCCATGGGATGGTGCATGCGTGTGTTTGTGCACGTTTGTCTCAGCCTCTGGCTGTGTGACTGCAGCAAGTAGGAGACCAAAGGGGTGTGTGGGCTGGGAATATCCCTCAGAGTCCAGCCCCAGCGCTGTAGAGAATGTCTGTGTCCTAAAGATCATTTCCATCAAGAAACTGTGCCTTTGGAGCTGCATTAGCTGTGAAGTAGCATGGCAGATGCTGTGATAATGACAGGATGGCCAAACGGTGGAATAAGCTCTTCCATCCGTCGTGTGTAGCTAGTCTTAAGTCAAGCAGAGGTGGCAGATCTCAGGCTTGTTATTTTTTCAGGATTGTGGTTTTTGAATACACACGTATTGATTACTAGGTTCTTGAGACTCCCCGTCATCACCATCAGAAGTGTGTCATGTTCCACAGTGCCTTGTCTGTTGGATGCAAAGGAGAGAGTGTAGCAATCACGGGTGGTAAAGGAGAGCAGGGATAAAAGGAGAAATATCTCCTCTTTTTCTGCAGAGGAAACCTAGGACATTGCTGAACCCAGCACCCACCTCTCCAACCACCAGTACCCCAGAACCAGACACAAGCACTGTGCCTCAGGACGCTGCTACAATCCCCAGCTCTGCCATGCAGGCTCCCACAGGTAAGGGTCTCGAACCGCATTCTTGACGAGATTGCGCAGGTAGGAGCTGCATCAGTCAGGAAGCGACACGCCGAGAGACTCCCGTTTCTTCCTAAACCCGTACACCAGCAAACACGACAATTCCGGAAAGACTGGCCTAATAGAGAGCCTGTCGGGAGGAGAAGCGAGGCGCAGGAGTTCAGATCAGCCGCTCGTTTAGCTCCCTGTCCGTTCTGGAAATACGCAGTGGTAGGAATCTTGCGAGTCCATCTGGTCAGTGCAGGAAGCCCTTTCACCACCTGCGTGCTGGTGACTCCCCGGCTCTCCAAGCGCCCTGCTCGTGGCCCGTCGTGCCCGCAGGCAGCTGGGTGTGCGGCACCTCTCGCGAGCCCGGAGCGCCGGCTCTCCCCGACCGTGCCAGGCACAGCTGCAGAGCGACTGCTGAACGCCAGCGGCAAGGAGCTGTTCAGCTTCAGCCCGAACGTGGAGCCAAACAGGGACAAGAGGGAGCAGGGGGGGAGCAGGAGTGGCAGGGCAGAGTATGTGCTCTGCTGCAGCTGTGAGGTGTAGCTGAAGGTGGATCTGGACAGGAAGGTCTAATGCAAAGCTGTGTTTTAGATGTTTGGTCAAGCAGTGGCTATGGGCTGAGCCCTCTGTTCCCCTGGAACGTAACTGGCCAGTTTTCAGAGGAACCCAAAAAGTGAGGGCTGTGTTCCTTCATCTCCTTTGAACATCGCAGGCAGCTTACCTGGCTGGCACAGGAGCCACTCGGCAGCCTGCCTTTGGGAGCCGGAGTGCCGGGGAAAGCATAGGAGAACCAGCAGCAGCTTGGAAAGTGAGCGTGAGGCAGGAAGGTTGTGGAGGTGATTGCCCTCCGTCAGCGGCTCCGCTGTTAGGGTGCGGACAGGCTGTCACCCTGCCTTCCCCTTTGTGAGTGCTTTGATGGTCTTAAACTCTCAGCATCTCTCAGGTTGGATTTTAGGCATCTGTTTCTTGCTTTCTTGAGTGGGTTAATGGCAAACACGTTTCTCATCTTGGCAGTTTGCATTTACTTGAACAAGAACGGCAGCACTGGGCCCCACCTAGACAAGAAGAAAGTTCAGCAGCTGCCGGACCATTTTGGACCAGCTCGAGCTTCTGTTGTCCTGCAGCAAGCAGTACAGGCCTGCATTGATTGCGCTTATCATCAGAAAACAGTCTTCTCCTTCTTAAAACAAGGCCACGGGGGAGAGGTCATCTCAGGTGAGAACTGGCCTGCAGCACTTTGCCTTCAGAGATGTCGTTGCAAGAATTCGCTCGTTAGAAGATGTCTCTGCTGAAGCCTGGTGCAGTCATGGGCCAGGGGCAGGCAGAAGATTTCTGTCTTCTCTTTCTTGCCAAGCATCGGTGTCAGTGAAGCAACAGCTAGAGCTGACTCAGAGCAGAGCAGTTAGCGTGGCCTCCAGGCACGGCTGCTGGAGAAGGCAGCCTGCAGCCTGGGCAGCCTTACGCTTCACCCATCGTCCCCCAGCGCTGCCCGAGCCCCCAGGAGGAGGCGAGACGGGTGGGATTTTCAGAATTCCTGACGGAAAGACAAGAAATACCCTGGTTTTTAATTCTGACTTTAAGCCTGGACGCTGGGAGTGCAGGTCCCTCCTTGACCGCCTTTCCATTCCCTCGAGCGCAGCTCCTCCGGCGCTGCGGCCCCGTACCTGATGCTGGGCGCAGCAGACTGGTTTTGGCCTGTCCCGGGGTGCCGAGCTCGCCAGCGCTTAGCCAGCGGAAGGCAGTGGCTTTTGTTTGCTCTAGTCTAGACCAGCGATGCTGAGATACAGAAGCTGGCTGTGCAGCCCTGGGCGTAGTCTCCTGGCTTTGCTGGGGGTTTACGTGTCGGGCTCTGTTTGTTTCTGTCTCCAGCTGTGTTTGATCGGGAACAGCACACTCTGAACCTGCCAGCAGTAAACAGTATCACCTACGTCCTCCGCTTCCTGGAGAAGCTCTGCCACAATCTCCGCAGTGACAACCTCTTTGGGAACCAGCCTTTCACTCAGAACAGCCACATGCAGCGGTCACACCAGTACGACCACGACAGGTATCTACCAGGTAGGAGCTGGGGCGGGGGCGGCGTTGTAGGGACCCCAGGTGCTCCGTGCCTTAACCCAGATTTTATCTTTGTCTCAGGAGGCAGGCGCGTGTTTCAGAGCCCTCTCTGCCGCGTTCATTGCATCACACCTGGTGTCGTGCACGTGCCCGGTGCCCGCAGGGCTCTTTTTGCACAGGATTCAAGCTGCTGTATTTTCTGCCTGTCAGTCTGATTTCCATCTCTGCCTGTAGGTTTCCGCTTATCCGTGCTGTCTCCTTGTCTTCCCTCCACTCCTTATCCCCCAGTCCTTCCCGCTTCCTGTAATCTGATGAGGGTGACTTCATCCAGTTAGGAATTAAAGTGAAAGACTCCGCATGAGAAGTAGAGGAGTGATAACACATCGTAGGTAAACTGTAATTAGAAACGGAATCAAAGCCTAGCGGAGTGGTTTCCACAGGGCTGCAAATCTGCTGCCAGCAGCCAGCACGTCCAGCCCTTGGTGGAAGCCGAGCCCATGCGGGGACGATGCACGCTGCAGCGATCCGAGGCGTAGGTGGCTTTGTTTTTCTTGGCATGGCGAACGCTCCGCTGCGTTGGAGCAACACACTGCCGGCAAGATAGTTCATGCCACGACGCAGGTTGTCAGGCTGCAAAATTGCTCTGAAGCGAAAGCGGTGGAAAACAAGAAGACCAAATAGTTTTCCCTGCTGTGTTAGTGGCAGCGGCTCCTGGGGTGGCAGCTGCCTCCCCGCGCTGGCTGTGGCGTCTGGGGGAGCTGCTGCTGTGGGAACGCCAGTCGTGGAGAGGATAAAACTGTCTGCACCCTCCTTAGATAGTTGACAAGTGCCTTGTGCTGATCTGCTCTCCTGTCTTGCTTCCTCCACTACCTTTCTGCCTCCCAGCTCCACAGATAGCTGTTTGAGGTCTTTCCAGAGTTAATCCTGTGGATAATTATGGCTCTGTCAAGAAAAACATGAATTTCTAATGTGAAAGGATAAGCACTTAGGAAGAACTGTTTAAGGAAGAGTTGCGATGTGACACTTGGGGGCAGCCACCTGATGGCACAGAGCTCCATTGCGTCTGGCAAAGCACCGGTGCTGAGCGTGCGGCTCTCGGAGCGGCTGGGAAGACGGCTCGCGGGCTGGAGAGCCGGGAGCGGCAGCCACGCTGGGCTGTAAGACGAGGAGCTGTAGGAAGCAGGCGTGCTGCGTGAACAGCGTCTCGAGTTCCTGGGGCTGGGGGTTACCCCGCTAGGGAACCCTCGATTAGAAGAAGTGCCCGGGTTTCAGTGTGGGAGCACCCTGTCGTCATGAGATAGAGCAAAACCAGGGTGGGAGGGAGGGGACCCAGGGTCTGGGCATGGATGGAGAGGGTCCTGTAGCTGACGCCCGTGGTGTCTAGCCATCATGAGATGTCAGTGGTGTCTGTGCTAAGAGCTGGACTGCCTGGCAGGGTGGGAAAATATAAAGAGCAAAGTCAGAATTCAGGGAAACTCAGGTAGAGCACCAGATATGACATGGTGCAGAGACCTGCCTGTCCTGACCTCTACATGAAAGTGTCTGCAGGGATGAAAGATGAACCGCAGTCCGGAGAGGTGATAACCTGGTCCTGTAGTTCATACTGATGTCTTGGGGATTGCTGGGCCTCTGGTCATCTAACATTTGTCTCGAGTACCTGTTATAAACATTGTTGTCTACACATTACGGTGGCTTCTGGGGAGGGCAAAGAAGCAGTGCCGGCGATTTTGAGATGTTAGGGCTGGTCGTGAAAGAATGAGGATGCAGCTGTACATCAGCTTAAATCACACCAAGTGTCAGGGCTGCCGTGGGCTCACCTTGAGCTCTGTGGGTCCTGCATTGTCTGCGCTACGGTACAGGCGCTCGTGTGCCTGAATGGGGCTGGTTCTTCCAGAAAGCGATCACTGGTTACGACTGGGAGCTGGTCTCAGTTCCCAGAACAAACTTGCTTAACAGGAGCACGACTGTGGATACTGGGGAGAGTTGGTGTGTGTGCCTGGGGCAGGAGGAGGAGGGTCTGCAGCAGCCCTTAGGTCAGCTGCATCCTGGCATTCTGTCTCGCTCAGTAAGGCGCAGTCGTGGAAATGCGGGGAAACAGATCAGGCTGTACAGCGGGAAACAGCGGATTTGCAAGAAAACGCAAAGTTGGTCGGTGTTAATAGGAACAGCGGTGGCTGTGAAATGTTGTGAGCAGGTAGATCTGCTCTGGAGCGATGCGAAGACACAGGACTGGAGGGACCTTCTGGACCATTGAGCCTTGGGTCCTGTTATTACAGGCACCACAGCACAAGGTGTTGCTTTAATTAACTCTGGAGCTGGGGTCTGGTTTTTCCACTGGAGGCTGCTCCAAGTTTTTTTGCTGAAATTTTGAAACTATATTGTAGTTTCTAGCCCACATTTTTTCTTGGGCAGCTTGGTATCCATGTCTCCTTGTCTTAACATTGTCTTTTAGCTTAACTTGGTTCTCCTTCTTCTGGAAGTAGTTAGAGAGCAGTCGTATCCTTCAGGGGAGCTCGCCTTTTGGCCGCTCTGGTAAGACAGGTTCTCTGCTCTCCTCGTCTGGCGTTGGTTTGAATTCAGCTTCATGAGGTGACCAGAGTGGCACCCAGCGCTCTGGGGACGAGCTCACGGGGACCTGGTGCCACAGCACTGGCACCACCACATTGACCAGAAACATCTCTGGAAGCTGCTTTTGGTCACTGTATCCTTGTAGCAGGTGATGACCAACCCGTCCTGGTGGCGTACCCTGTTCTTCTCATCGGTTATTGTCAGCTGCAGGTTCCCAGCTCATGGGACAATGCTTCAAGCGCACATCGGCGTTTTGCTGCTGGATTTACCTCATTTCTGGTACTCCGTTCTATATACGTATTTTCTGCATGATTTCAAATGCTGTGGTATCTGGTCTGATGTTGGAAGACATCAGCAGATTTCATCAGTCAATCTCTAAAATTTGTGCCAAAATTATTAATAAAAATATTAAATGACACTGGGCTCAAGAATGATCCTCAAGACAATTCATTAGCAATTGCTCACCAAGCTCGTGTTCTCACTCAGTGCTCTCCGCCTGCGTTTCCCCTCGACTCAGATGTTTGTGCATGTAACAAGGCTTCTGGCAGTCCCCATGTTCTCTGTCTCAGCTGGTGGTTCTCCCTATCAAATGCCTTACTGAATTCCAGGCAGATGATTCTGGCCACTCCTCCTCTGTGCGAGAGATCCGTTATTTTCCCGTGGTAAGGAAGCTGTCGGGTTCGTCTCCTCTGACGAACGCCTGCTGCAGTGTGTGCCATCTGTAATTGCAGAATTGTCCCTACCCTTCAGAACCTCTTACAAGCCTTGCGGTACAGCTGAGGTCAGACATGAGCATTTTGTTGCCAAAGTCATTTTTTCACCTTCTTTTTTAACCATTAGCACCAAGTTTCCAGTCACTCTGAGCAGCGCGTCACGGAGTTTTGTTAGAATTTGCTGCAGCAGAACCCGGCTTTCGTGTGCGCCTTCCCCTTTTGGTTATGTTTTGGCTTCCTCCGCACCCTCACGTCCCCAGTTTGAGTCCGTTCCGTTATCTGACTTCCCCTTCTTCGTCAGTGGCGTGTATTTTCATTGCTGCCCCGTTTCTCTCATCTGTTGAGCCGTGCCCCGGCGTTCCGCGTGGCTGCGACCGGACGCGGAGGGTGGGATGTGTGTGGCTGAGTGCGGGCGGGTGTCGCAGCGGGACTGTGGAGGCATCCATCCTGACGGCTTGGGCTGGCCAGCAGCACAAACCCAGGCAGGGGCAGGCGTGCTCTGCTTCCTCCCAGCCAACCTCCCGAGCTAGGTGAGGTGAAATACCCCTCAAAGCTGTCCAGTCATTTGCAGACAGGGACAACCTGTCTGCCTTTTTCTCAGTGCTCACCTCTGCTCGTCTCCTCTCACTCCGTTCCCGTGCACTTGTCACTTCTGTAGCTGCAGACGCGGTCCTGTCTTTTCCTTTGCACCGTGTCAAACGACGGAATGAGTTAAAAAGTTCCCTTCGTCTCGCCACCCTCTGAAGTGTACGGCTCCGCCAAGGAGCAGAGTTAGGGAACCTGCTGAGCAGGTCCTTTTCATCTCCAGTAAATGATCTGCTTGTTCTCGGCATCCTTCTCGAAGCGAACATTTATCCACTGAGATTTGGGGTCCTTTCCTCCCAGGTTGTTTCCTCACAGATAATACACATTCATGATGTTTGTGGCACCTTTTGAACTGAAGGTATTTTCTTTTTTTCCTGATGGTTGGCGTCGTGACTGCTGAGCACAGCTCTAGGTATTAATCCATTTCTTTATTTTCTTAAAATTTGTCTTTTAAAGTCAGACACCCTAACTACAGACCTACGTTTGGTTGATCCATTCCATTAATTTCCACTGACCTATCTTCTGATTCCCCGGGTTCCCTTCTACAACATGACCTTCTGGCATTAACTTTTAAAATCAACCAATTTAAAAAAATAACCCAAAACAAAACCTGATCAAACCTTGAAAAGCATCACCTTTGGTTGTGGTTCGGTGACTGTTTGGGGAAGGGGGTCGTGCAGTTCTACGTTTGGAGATATCCAGAGACATTACTGAGAGCATTTGTCTGGGCAATAAATCGCTGACTGGGCAATAAATGTGTCTTACGGGGACTTGTCCCGAGGACAGTGTTCCTCTTTCTAACAAAGTTACAGTGATTTTTGGTCATCCTCACGTGCGGTCCCTTTCCCCACAGGATTTTGATAGAATGAGTGCTTTACCTTTGTATTTCCCTTTAGTCAACTAAGCCGTGACCGTCTGATGCTTCCCACCCATCTGTCCCCCGTGTGTTTGGCGTGATGCTTGTCCCTTGGTGTCCGGTCCCCATCGCTCCCCGCCGTGTTTCCGTCACCCCGCCAGCACCCGTCCCGGCCCTGCATGGCAGCGGGGGCTGCTCCGGGCTGGTGTCCGGCTCCCCGCGTTTGTTCTCCGAGCACTTCACCCCTCTCTCCCCGCACACCTCGAACGCTGCCGGCTCACGCGTGTCACCCGTGCTCGGGGCAGCTGCGAGGGGCCAGCCGGGAGCGCGGGTGGGCTGGTGGGTGACCTCTGCATTGCTTCTCGACTGCCACCCACCGTATCGCTTGCCTGGCTGCGGGTCAGCTGGGGCGGGGGGGATCCGTTTGGGGAAAGATTGAAAACTGGAGTACGGTTTAATCATGCGCTGTGTCTGGCACAGAATGTTTGCAAATCGTCCAAGGGTTATGAGCGTCTGCAGGGTGAAGAGTGGGGGGGGACAGGAATTGTGCAGGATGAGCCAAGGGGTAGAACAAGGAGAAAGGGAATCAAGTCAATCGGAGGTGATATTTGGGGTGAAATGTGGCAAAACATGGCTGATTCTTCATCAGTTTTCTCGCCACCCTTTTTCTCTGATAAAACTTGCTAAGCAAAATACAAGATGTCCAGCACTGACAGATGTGCTGGGTCGCCGTTCTAACAGGCTGCTACCAGGCTGGCCGTGCATGCGAGTCTCGCGTGACTCTGGCAGGACTGAACTTCCCAGCAAGTCTCCACTCCTAAATAGGGCTTGTTCTCTTTTCCTAGACAGAAGCAGTTCGTTAGACGGCACGCTGCAGGGACCAGGCCGGGGTACAAAGCGGTATTCCCAAGATTCCCCTCCATACAGTGCTCCTCTCTCCCCCAAGTTACCAAAGAATGACCGTCACCCTTTGGAAGGTGAGCACAGCGTCTCTTCCCAAAGCAGCTCGGAACGGATACAGCAGGATTAGATTTGCCCTGCCAAATCGAGCCGTGGGTTTAGGAAGTCTGCTTTGCTTTGTCTCTGCCGTGGGTCGGTGCTTGGCGTTTCAGAGGGAGGTGGAGGAACCACTCTACACCAAGGCAGGTTCCCCAAGCAGTTGTGTAAAGCATGTGGAACGCAGGGAGAATTCCTTCTAGTCCTGGTAGTCATCATCTGATACCATATAATCTGGGATTTCGTTACCCGTATTTTGGCTTCCATTGCTATGCATGGTATTAACGGTCATGAAACTGCCCAGTTGCTTCAGTCAATCTCCCCCTGAATTTCTCCACGATGGTTTGCTGGGCTGTGTTGTACAGATGCTGATGTGCAGCTGTATGGCCAGGGACCTGCTGCCCTCTCCCAGGGATCCCATCCTGTTCCCCACAATCCTCCCTAAATAGCAGGGAGGGTCTCACCAGTATGTGCTCCACCAGCTAAACCACATCACATCGCATCCCGCAGCGCTGCTGCTTCCTCCGTGTCCGTCGGGTGACACTGGGGCAGGAGGGCTGGGCAGACAGGTCCTCTTTGGCGTGTGGTCCACGGGCGTCCCTTGCATGTGCAGGTGGGAGATTTCCATCAGGTCCAGGTAGCTGGAGGACTTCAATAAATACGCTTCCACCTTCGCTTCTGCTGTGAACTGCAGACACTCCGTGATGCAGACTGGAGATTTAACCTTACTGAAGCCTTTTAACCCATTGATGGTGAAATCTGCCAGGGTGTTAGTCTCAATTCTTTGTAATGTGTCCCTGAAAAAATTGCTGGAGACTCTTGGCTGGGCTCACAGTTCAGTGGCTTTGTGCTCTGTTGCTGGCCCTTTAGAATCACCGTTTCCCTGGGCCGTGCTGAGTTTGCTGGGCTTGGGTTGTTGATCCCGGATTTGAGCGTGCACAGCCTCCTGTGCGCTGAGGTGTGATTTCGGTCTGCATCCGTCACTGTGCCCTCCGGGACTGCTGATCCCGTGTCCAGGCACAGCTGGGCTGAACTTGCACCCTGTGGTTGGACAGTTTCTAGTGGCCTTAGTAGCTACATTGATGAAAATTGTAGGTTTGTCACATAGCTGATGTGCAGAACAAGGTGATGTGTGGGACTGTCTCATCTATTCCAGCATACTGACAAGTAAAAATGGTTTCCTGAGGCCCAGTCTGTTTGTCACCTCTGGATACGTGTCCTTGCTGGTCTCCTTGACATTCTCCTCTAATACCTCAACCGCTGTGCTTAGGTAACCATTAGCAAAGCCTGTCCACTCCTCCTCTGCCAGCAGGTGGAACATACAGTGTTCAGTCTGTTCTTGAAGCATGGTGATGTTCTCTGAAGAATGAGGTGCCTTGGTTAAGTGGTGAGAATCGTACACTATGTGTATTGTCAGTGAAGACAGAAGGCTTCCGTAATGGGTAACTGCAAGGAGGAACCTACGTTAGGTTGTCTGCAAGATTGATTCTTCATCTACTTCAGAGTCTGTTCCATTATCTCTTGGCCTTTGAATGGGTCCTGCCATCTGGATACCCGGAATACTCCAGCCTCTTCTGTAAAGGCAGGGACAAGTGGGCAGAAAGCGTGCCTTCATGGTCCTGTTCCTGTGTGAACTTCCTACAGCAACTTCATCTTGCTCTGTTCTTGGTCCAAGCAGAGGGTGTACAGAGCAGGGCAAAGGAGGTGCAGTTCCACATTCCATCTGGAAATTAGGCTCTGTCCCACAGCTAAAATCCTATTCATCCTCCTCCCCCGCGAAATTTAAATACAAGCAGGAATATTTGCATTTCAGAGGATATATTTGAAGAATATGAGCCTGAAATACTCAGATATTGAACATCCCTCAAGCAAGGAGAGAGGTCTTCTCGCGGCGATGAGCTCCCCCGGCAGAGCACAGCCTGGCTTCAGCAGTGTGAGCGGCAGCAGTACCGGAACGGGTCCCAGTTTGCCACACTGAAGGCGATGAGCAGCAGTGGGAAGTCTGCGTTCATCGTGCCTTTGGCAAGAAGTCAGGAAGAAGAGGAGGGGATCTCGCTTCTTACATTGTTTTTCCTCTTGCATCCAGTGGCATTTATGTAGCTTTTTGCTACCACGCTGCAGTTCCAGCACAGTGGGGACCTGCTTTTCAAAGACTATCATTTGCTGGAAACAGTGGGTGTTTAGTACTTGTGCAAATCAGGTTGATGCTTGTGGCCAAACTCCATGTTTTAGCAGTACAACGACGCTGTTGAGTCTATAGCACTATTTGTTTAATTAAACTTTAATTATCCGCTCCCTGCCTCTGCACCACTGCTCGTGGCATGATTCCCTACAATGCTCGAAATGCAAGCCTTTATTTAAAACCAGCAGTTTGTATAAGAAAATCTGCCTGAGAATTAACCGCCTCCTCCTCACTCCGAAGCTGCTTGTGAAGGGCGAAAGGATCCCGGAGAGCGGCTGGGCCTGGGGGCAGTCCCGCCTCGCGGCAGCGCCGTGTCTGCTGCTGCAGGCGACGCGCAGCGCTGGTAATCCTTCCCCTCTCTGGAGGTGTCGTTCATCTGAGCAGTTCTGAGTGTGTTTGTATTTTGAAGAAAATGCGAAATCTCGTGCATTGACCCTACCAAGAAGCCTCCAGCTCTGCTGCAGTCTTCACAGCGCAGCCGAGCGCTCGCCGGTCCCCGGACGGGTAACCTGAGGATGAAAGAGCAGCTCCACTTCTACCTCTGGAGCAAAACCAAGAAGCGCTCCCCAGCTGCGTGGCCTCATCCTCTTCTTCAGCTGTACGATCCCAAGCACGTGTGCGAACAGGACCACATATTTGGAGAGTGCCTCACAGCGCATTCACGTCAGAATAACGACAGCGCGTTAACTGTCGAGTTAATCGCGTTCGGAGGGCGAGCTGTGGATCCTTGGCGCTGCGCCGACACGAACCCGTGCGCGTGCTCTCGCAGCCTCCCAAGCCGTAGTCTTTGCTACCTGAGCCCAGAAGTTCCTTCTGCTGACACAAATCCCTTCCTGTGAGCTTTGGGGTCTTCACGAGTGTCATGGCTTAACCCAGCAGCCGGCAGCTAGGACAGCCAAACTGATGAATTCTGCAAATTGCACAAAACTCCTGAAAAAAACACTCACAGGGGTGGAAACAGGCGCAGGGCCCTTCGCCGGGCCTACAGCCGCGACGCCGGCCTGCAGGGACATCGTTGTCGGGCTTTGATGAGCGCCGGCTCCTGGCACCTGAACCCGCTGTTCAGTTCATCCCGCAGCGCCAGCTCTGCTCAGCCCTTCCAGCCCCACCTTGGGTGTCAAACCATGTCAGCCTTCTTCTCGTGCTAAATCCAAAACACAGCAGAGGTGGAGAGGAAAATGAACTCCATCCCAGCCGGAGCCAGGACAACGAGTGGTTAGACACACACGTTTGCCTGACCCAGTGCGTGTTGGACAGATGTGCCGGGGCTTCCTGGCAAGCTGAGGCTGCATGTCACCTCGCAGAGGATGGAGGGTGGACATCCTCGGAGGACAGAGATGTGCGGGACAGAGCTGATCCCACACCTGCGACTGCTTCCCTGTCACAGAGCATCCCGGCCGGTGCAGAGGGCTCTGCCTGCTGAGCCCCTCACACCTCTGCACTCCCTGTGAGGCAGACATCGCCCTTTTGCAGAGAATCCCAGCAGGGCAGGGGTTGGCAGGGCCCTCTGTGGGTCCCCCAGCCCAGCCCCCTGCCCAAGCAGGGTCAC